CGTCTGTGGGAATTGAACCTTAGACCTGCCACTTGAGGGTTGACAACCTATCCACTTCACTAGGTCGCCACACCCCTGTAGTTGTAGCTTGAGTTTTGGTTTTTATTTTTTATATTTTTTTAATTTATTTTTTGGAAAAAAATTTTTTTTGTTGTATCAGTTTTATTTAAAAAATAAAGACAAACATCCTTTAAGTTATTTAAATATAATCATGCGGTTATTGTGTTTAATAAAATTGATCATATTTGTAATCAAAAAAACAAAATAACAAATTTTGAATTGAATAATTGTGCTTACAATTACAAAAGATAAATAAACAAATCATACGATTTATCAAATAAGCTAATTGTTCAAAGCAAAGTGACCAAATCTTGCATGTTTGTGTTTATTACTATTATTAGGTTAGATTAATTTATTTAGCTTATTTAACTAATACATTATTTCTTTTTTAGTTATTATAATAATTAGAATTTTTAGCTTCAAAATCTATTAGTACATATTATTTTTTTTTAGTTGTTATGATCATTATAGTTAAGTATTTAATAATGTAATAAATAATTTATTGATGAATCAAATACAATTGCAAACATTCTTTAAAAGTTTTATTAAATAAATTATAATAGATTATTGTTATACACAAGATTTGTTTTAAATAACAATTATCTTACAGGTTTATGGTTGATAATATCAATTTATTTTCTATATAAACTAGATCGCATTTTTTAAAAAACACACATTGAAGAATACTTAATTAATCTACTAATATTCTTTAACATAATGCTACCTAGGCAAAATCTTTCATATAAAAAAAAAACTTATAAGGCAATGCATTATTCAGCAACCTGTCACAAGACATGAAGATACAGAAAAAGTGATCTATCATCAAATACCCATCACAAAACATGAAGAAACAGAAAAGAAGATCCATCATCAAATACTCATCCTAAAACATGAAGATACAAAAAATGTGGTCTATTATCAAATACCAGAAATAGCAAAAGTTAAAGCAATATTTAAAAGAGACAAACTTATTAAAAAAGAATAAATTCTGAAGGCAGTCATTTATATGCCATCTGGGTGAAAATTATTTCTGTAATTGTAATGCCAAAATTCAATTTTTTTTTAAAATTTATTAAATAAAAATTATATAATAAATACAAAACTTTGCTATCATAACTAGAGATATAAGACAATGTTATAATTTGTTGTAATTATAGTGAATTACAGAAAAAATATACTAATGCATTATAATTATTACAAATTACGACATTGTACTCATATAACTAAAGCCATACATATATATACCCAAAAATTATGAATTAACTGTTTTAATTATGACATAATAACTACATACTTATATACAATTTGCCTTGAAACCAAGCAAGATCCAAAAAAAAAAAGTTAGTTTCTCAAAAAAAAAAACAAATAAATAAAAAATACATAAAAGAAAACTGATACTTATTATGAACATCTTCAAATCTAGTCTTCTAAAAAGTTCATCAAAGTTCACTCATTCCAGTACTATTTTGCCTTTCTTAGTATTAATTGATCTTGAAGTAAAGCAAAACTCATAAAAAAAAATCTAGTTAATTTTTTTTTTAAAAAAAAGAAGAAAAAACAAAAAACATATACAAAAGAAGAGCTAACTGGTACTTATCATAGATCAGCTTAAAGTTTAATTCTCATGCTGATCATTAAGTTTGCTACTTTGAAAGATCTACTTATTTGGGGTTAGTAATTTGAGATCTTATTAGACTTAAATATGAAAATGCATTAACAGCTAAAAAAACAAAAAAATTAAAACAAATCAACTAATCAGCAAATGAATTTGTGATAATCACAATGCTGCAGTAAATCATATGATAATGTAGATCAATTTTCTTTATCAAAGCATTATTTTATATTAAATAGAATTTTTTACTAAACAAGTTGAACTTTATCCACTAAATAAAGTTATTGAAAGTACCATTTTCTAGTTGTGTTCAAATTTTGATATGGTTTGGCTAATTTTTCATTAATCGATTTCTACATTATACATTTGGTACAAGAAGCTCTAGGATGTATAATGTAAAAATTAATTAATGAAAAATTAGCCAAACTATATCAAAATTTAAACATAACTAGAAAACAGTATTTTCAATAACTTTATTTAATAGATGAGGTTCAACTTGTTTAGTAAAAAATCTTGTTTTCTTAAGTTATTTTTGATATGCCAAATTACCCTTCTGCACTATTATACCTCTGGTTATTTTATATAATTTGAAAATTACTATATATCTTTAATTTAATATAATTTTTTAACTTAAAATTTTTTTTATTCTTAATTACACTATATATTAAGTAGTAATATAATTGTTGTATTCTTATTACATTATGTTACAACACATAATTGCTAAAAAAAAAGTAATAAACATTGCTAATCTTTTATAAAAAAAGCTAAAATCTTCATTTTTGAGCAAAAAACAAATACTGATATAAATAAAAAAGACTAGCAAATATAATTTATAAAAAGCTAAATCAAAAAGAGTGTTTTTAGTTGTTTAGTTTGTTTTTAAGTTTCTTATAACTTTTAATCAGTGTTTTTTTTATTGTTTTCAAAATAACTTTTTAGTTTAGATAATAAACATATTAAAGAGTCTTACAGATTGAACAAAGGCTTATTAAAAAACTATCAAAATGCTAATAGTTAATAAAAGGTTTTTTATTTTGATATAAAAGCATTCTGATATATATAACTAATATTCTAATTTGACATATTTTTTACAGAAATTTGACAAATTTCAAGAACTTATTAGTAAATTTCTAAATTACTATTATAGAAATATTAACTAATAAATAAACTTTTTAAGTTTTTAATAACTATTTTAATTTTTTTATATTTTTTATAGTCAAATAAATTTTATGAACTTATTAATTTAATTTCTAATATATACTAATTGCTAAATAAAATGTAATGACCTAGTAAAGTAAATAGGTTGTTAATTTCTAAGTGAAAGGTCTAAGGTTCAATTTTCATGAACAATAAATTTTGATAATTATATTTGTGTTATAGTAACTGTTTCTTGTTGATTAGTTAGATTTATGCATCTGTATATTAGGTTAGAATTTATTTAATTTTAAAAGCTTAAGGCATCTATACAAAATATAATATTACATGTATATAAAAAAATATAAAAAATTAATATCATATAAGGCTTTGGTGCAAACTTATGATAAGTCTATTAGACATAGAAAATTAAAAAACTGAGAAGACAAAAGCCTACTTGGAAATTTCAAAAAAGAGATAGTACAAAGTTTTAATAATGCTATTGAATTGATAAAAGTTTATAAAACACTTTTATAAGAATTGTCAAATAAATCAAATAATAAGATATATAGAAAAGCATATAACCAACCAGGTTACTGAAATCACTAAAGAAAAAAAGATATATAAGTATACTATATCAGATTATCTAGATTGAAAATCTGAAAAGTCTGTTAGTTCTAAGCTGCAGTTAATAGAAGATAATAGAGAAGATATTAGAAAAATAAATATCAAGGTTTGAATAAATTCTACAAGAGTAATAGCAATTTAATAGATACTTTGACTGCAAATATTAGTTTTGGCTATAGCAGAAAATTCAGATTAGTAGTAGATAAGAAATATATAGCTTGCTCTGATAGGTTTATTTTTAAGAATAAAATTGTTTTAAGGTTGAGATGAGGATCTAAATACAAATAATCTAGTAAAGTTAATACAAGAGTTTCAGATTAGAGGATTTAAATAAAACATCTAAAAAGAGATATTAGATATAGCAACTAGTGGAAAACCTCTGAATAAACTCTTTTTAAATAGATAATATAGAAAAGTTATATATGTAGCTAGCTATACATTTATCATAATGTTTGACAAAAGTATTAATAAAATCAAAAATCAAAGAGGTTACCTTAAATATCAAATATATATATATATATATATACTAATTGCTAATATGAATTTTCTTTTATCTATTTTATTTTTATAATTTTTATTAAATATTACTTGAAAATTTTTTAAAGCAATAGATAACTAAATATATTTACTATTACTATAGCATTATTTTTATTATATATTTATAAATATATTTATATTGCTATGCTAAAAACAATAATTTATATAGCTATATACTAATAAGCTATCTAACAAGAATGTTATACTTTTTTTTATTTTTATTTTTTTAACTTTGGCAGCCTTGTCATTCACCTTTATTAAGTATTTAATATACATTTAGTATATACAATTATGCTTTAATTTTGGTTCAACATCTTTTGGCTACTTTGAGAGTGCCCAGAAGTGGTCTGCTGCACTGGTTGGAAAATTATCTGAATCCAGGAGCTATACCAAACTAGCCTTTTAGGTCATAAAAAAAGGGCCTTATATTATTATTAACAAAATTTCTAACTGACTTTAGCCATAACTCTTGTATGCTATTCTTATCTACCTCTTTTTTCTTTATTTTTTCTTCTTTCTGGACTAGAGTTTGCTTGTTTAACTTTACTGCTCTCAACTCTTTTGATGTACTTGTTTTTGCAGATGGTTGTTTTCTGTATTTTCTCTTTTCTTTTAAACCAATTTCTAGTTCTTTCTTCTAAACAACAACTGCTTCACATCGTTTCTTCTATATATTTTTATAAAAACTATTTCATGCTGTATTTACTAATACATGCAAGAAATTTTTTGCCTTTGTCAATGTTTGTGTCAGTTCTTAAATCAGTTTTGTAGCTTTTTCATGAATCAATCCCTTGATTATTTTATATCTACTTTCTTTCTTTTCTTTTTCTATTTTTTTCTATATAATTTCTTTAAGTCTTTTTTTATCTAAGTTTTTTTGTGATTCTTTTATTAGTGCTGACCATGCCAGGTTGGTTGAGGTTTCTTCTATATTTTGCCAACCTCTTTCATGATTGCTACATATTGCTAAATGCTCTTGGTCTTCCTCTTTTTTTTCATTGCACAGAATACAACATAGGCTTGTATAAATATCTGGATGTCGCTTTGCTAGTGTTTTTAGCAGAGGTAATTTTTTACTTAAGCACTTGATTAATGTTTCAATTTGCTTGTTTCTTTTCATACTTGTACATTTTACTTCACTTTGATCTTTGATTTTTCTTCATAATGGTGGCCAATTGTGCTCTTCTGTCTTGTTGTTGTTTGGTTCTAGCTTCTTTATAACTGATGAAAATCTTTATTCTGCATCTATTTTAAAATCAAGAACATCCTTTAAAAATTATTTTGTTGGACCTTCTACCACATTATCTTTTTAATATAATAAAACATTTCAACTTTGTAATGTCTCTTTAATTATTCTATCTTTATTTTCTAAGCTACTACCTAATTTCACTAAACTATCTGCTAGATTATTCCATTTATCATTACTATGACCTTTGACTTTGACTAATTCTAATTGTAATTTTTTGAGCTTTATAATCTCTATTATGCTTTTTTTTATGTCATAATTCTTTTCTCTAAGCCATTGTTTGTTGGACTTAATTTTTAGTCCTCTATTTATTCCTGCTATTGCTGCTGTACTATCTGTATATACTTTGACTTTATTATTTCTAGGTGTGATTAAGAGAACTCCCCAAATTGTAAACAATTCTGGCTTGGTTAATGATGGCCAGTTTTGCACTCCAAAGTAGTCTTCATTAATTTTTACTTTTTTATCCTTATCTACTTGCACCCAACCAACACCTATTTTGTTGCCTCGAATTCTTTCTTTCAAACTAGATCTTTTAAGAGAGCCATTTGTATAAAAAGACAAATTTGTATAGTTTTCTACTTGGTTTTTGCATAATTTGCTATTCAGTTCTTCCTTTAACTCCTTGCTTATATTTTACTTCTGAATTAGCTCTTCTTCTTGTATAAGGCTTACTATCTTTTCAATTTGACTCTCCTTTGTTATTGATTCTTCATATTTACAATTCTCTTTTATATTAATCATTTCTTTCTTGATCTCTAATTTCCAGTTTTTAGCTCTTTTTTTTACTAGGTTTGTCAAGGTTCCTGGTACCTCTAATTTGTTATTT